ATAATTTTTTTTAAAAAAGAGCATGAAGTACTGGCCCATGTGGCCACATAGATGACTCGTGAAGACATTGCCCTAAGCGAAAGAAGCCAGACACAGAAGACCACATGCTGCATGAGTGTATGGAGTTCTCTGTAGGGAAATCTACAGAGACAGAAGGTAGACCAGCAATTACTTGGGTCTGGGCATGGTGGTGGGACAAGGTGGTGACAGCTGAAAGGTTTCTTTTTGAGACAATGACAATGTTTTAGAATGGTGGTGATGGGTGAACATACTAAAAACATTTTTTTTCTGTACTGCAAATGGATAAATTATATGGTACGTGGCGATCTTAATAATTTCTTTGGAAAAAAATATGTCTGAAGTCTGCATTTGGATGCTGTTGTTGTTAGGTGCTATCAAGTAGAATATGACCCATAGAGACCCCAGGAACAGATCAGAACCCTCACCTATTCTGTGTCATCCTCACAATTTTTTAAAAAAATTTTATTCTTTTTTGTGTGTACTGTCATATCGGATCCTACTGGTACAGGGGGAGACTGCCCCTCCTTCTCCAGGAGAGCATCTGGTGGATTTGAACCATGTACCTCTAGGATTGCACTGCAGCTTCTTGCCACTAGGCCACCAGAGCTCCCATATCCTCACAATTTCTTAATTGAATGGGGCATATATTTTCAAGAAGTGGTACTTTTGCTGGAGAATCAGTCTCCCAGGTTCCCAAACAGCTCTGCTCCAGTCAGTCTTACTAAAAGGTGCAAACAGTGCTCAGGGGCCAACTGACCCTCTGAAGGATTTCCCTTAACTCTCTGCTATGGGAAAGCACCTAGGGTCAGAGGGTAAGAAGCACATAGCCTGTGCTCCTTCCTCCCTGGAAACACAAAAGATGGGGACCTGATGGAACATGGGGTACCCCAACCATCCACAGGCAGTAAGCCCTCCCAGGCTGTGTGACTCCTCCCAGCTGAGCATGGTCTTAGCCCACCCCTAAGCCTGCCCTTGTCACTGGAGGACCCTGCCATTCGCCCCACCTCATTCCCAGTGGCCAGGCCCCGGCTGACCTCTCAAAGGCCACGTTCCGAGTGTCCAGGTGGGTGGAGACAATTGGGGAGGTGAGGCGGCTGGCCACATGCTCCTCACTGGGCCGCATGGCGGCCAGCAGCGCTTCGGGCTCATGCACAGTGAGCCCCAGCGTCTCTGTGTGGACGACCTGCCGGTCATGGTCCACCTCCATCACCAGGGCTCCCGCCTCTGACAGCAGCATGGGGAGATGGGACACAAGTGAGTGACGGGCATTAATCAGAGGGAACGGGGCCGTGGCAATATCCTTGATCCCACGCTCCCTCTTTAACCTTGCTTTGGAGGTGGATGGACAGGGCAGCAGCATCTTCAAAAGCTCAGCTGGCACTGAACTCACCTTGGCCCCTGAAGATAAAGCTCCTCCGGCCACGCTGCCAGGTCATGTGTTCGAAACCCAGGAGGCTGGTGTCCACCCTCAGGCTCTCCCCACGCTTCCACACACGGTACACATCACTTGGGCACATCTTGGATACCAGGGGCACTGCAGGGGTGCCATGGTCACCTCATGTCTTCCCCAAAGCCCACCCCTGAGTACGTGGTGCACCCACTTACCCCAGCTTGTAAACTCCCATTTCATCTCCACGTAGAAATCGGGGGCCTGTGAAGGGCCAGAATGCCATGAGGGCCCCTCCCAGTGGTGGGGTCCAGAGGGCCTGTGGCTCTTGTCCACACCCCCTTTCTGGAGCCCAACTCTCCAGATGGCCCCCACTTTGATCAAACCATTCTGGGTTGGGAAAGACGAGATCAGGTGGGAACCTGAGAGGGTCTTCAGGGATCTGGCTATGGTCCCTGGAGACATGGGGTCCTGTTTCTCTGGGTCTCAGAGTTCTCTGAAAGGGGCACAATGGCCACCTCAGGGTCTGTATGGCAGGAAAGGGCATAGGGAGCAGCCAGGCTCCACCACTTACTTAAACAGGAGTGGTCCACAGTGCCTGGTATAGGATCTGACCTTGTAAAAGCTCCGCTCACCAGCTGACCTGAAGTGGCCCTTTGGAGAATCTGCATTTGACAGATGCTCAAGGCCTAAAGTTCCAGAGCCCGTCAGTGCTGCCAAGGCTTTCTTCCCAGAGGACCCGGTGTCATACCCAGGTCTCCAACATGACAGGAACTAAGGGGCACCATGGAGGGAAAGCCAGGCCTGGCACAAATGACCAGTCCCTCCCCAGCCACAGCTCTGCCCACTGTACCTGGCGGAGTTTGTTGAGCAGTTCTGGAATGCCAGCCAGCCTCTGTGTGGCCCGCTGGTAGTCACGGTACTGGAGGACCAGCTGTACCATCTCAGGGTCACCGGTGCTGACTGCCTCCTGCAGGACTGGGGAACACCAGGTTGCTGGAGGGGTGCGCACTCCCTCCTGCCTGGATCTGGCAGCAGCCTCACCCACCCAGCCTGCTGCCAGCCTGGCTTGCACCCCCAGTCCCTTGCAGTACCTGCCCAGCCCTGGAGGCTCTCTTTGCCCACGTTGGCATTGTGTCGAAGAAGGACTCTCACCGACTCCAGGTTCCCCAGGGACACGGCTAGCTCAAGGGGTGTCCGTCCCCGGGGGTCCTCCTGTTCAATGTCATGCTGGAGAAAATGGGACATGCAATAAGGTGAGAGGACACTGAGCTGAAGGCGTGGGGACACTGCAGGAAATAAGGATGGCTGACAGGTCAGGGAAATGGTTGGAGGCAGGGAGGGGCCTCCCCACCTCTCCCGCCTCTGCCAAGGATGGAGGCCCGCGCTAGGCGGGGAAGCAGGGAAGGATGTTAGGAGTTTGGATTGGACTGGCTTAAGCTAGGACAGGGGTTTTCATCTCCAGCCCGGTTCAGGAGTGATGCGAAGCAGGGCTTGGTGCTTTGGGAGGTGGACTGGCGAGGTGGGGCAGGCCCAGCCCGAAAGCCGAGGTTAGAAGCTCCAGAGCACCATGTAGGTGACCTGGGCATCGGATCAGGCCAGCTGAGGATTTGGGCTGCGGCTGCTGCGCGGCCGGGGCGAGTGGGCTCCGGGATCGGGGCCGCGGCTCAGAGCCCGGGGTGCTCGGCGGGCCTCACCTGGCGACTGTGCAGCGCGGCCTCCAGTTCGCGGTGCCGGTTCGCCCAGACGAGCC